TTTTTTTTTTTTTTTTTTGTGTGCAAACTCCATAATATTTATCCTAATATGCCTTTTATTGTACAGCTTTCATTTGAAGTGCGCAGAGAAGTCACTTGAAGATACACTTGCAACGATTTGCCCTTACTGCAATTTTATACGCAGCTCTAGACTTAATCGCAGTGGATTTGGTTCTCTGGTCTGTTATTGATAATTCCTTTACTCTATAAAGTTAATGCTCGAAAATGTCGATTTCTAAACTTTTTTTTTCCATATTTAGAAAACCGGGAAGAAGCATCTTGCATTGGATAAGCTTACAGTTCTCCTCAATGAAGCCAATGATCTATGTCTCTGGTAAGAACACTCCCATCTTGCTTTAATACAAACTAATATATGCCATTTTGTGTTTTATGAATTATGAATAAAGTGGATCTATTTAGTTATGTATTTTTTTTTATTTATTTATTTTTTTTTTTATTTATTTTGGCAGGACCTATGAGAGGAGGATATTACATCAAATTGTTGAGAAAGCTGTTGCATGCAATGCTTGCTTAGGGGAACTTGTGGATTTTGCGTTAGCTTATATCAGCAAAGATCTCGACGTGCTTACTCGAAAATTGTGCATTGCTTTGAAGGTAATTATTACTTGAAAGGGTCTTTAGTTGATGCAAGTTTAGCAAGATATATTGAGTAGGAAAAAGTTGCATCGATTATTTTGTTGCAGGCAGTGGATGCTACATGTGTTCATGATCGTGAGGTTAATCGGAAATTCGAGCTGGCATTGGCTACTACTTCATGGAAAATTCGAGCTGAAAAATTACTGGAAATTGCAGAGAAAGAGAAGCCCACACTTCAGCAAATTCAGAATCATTTGAAAGAAGTACAAATCGCTCTGCTTTATAATCTTGATAACATTACAATTACATCAAAGAACAAGGAAAAAAAAAAAAGAGCTTTTCTCCAGTTAATGATCAGTCGGATTGTTATCATCATATCTTATTATAATACTCTTCAGGGGCTGGCAATGGACATTCCTTCAGAAGATTACTTCACTCAGAAACTGACAGAAACAAAAAATACGGCCATCCAATGGGCCGAAACAGCAAAGAAGGTTTTAAATTTCGCCAAGTTCATTTTCTAAAATTAATAGAACTAAAAAAAATAAACTGGATATTAACTACAACAACTATTCTGTTATATATATAGGTATCTGTGGATGGTGGAATGCTTGGATTGGATGAAGTATTCGAACTTATTTCAGAAGGCGAGAGTTTACCTGTATCTTGTGCAAAAGAACTGAAGGTACACAAATTATGCGATTTTTTTTCTCTTTTTTTTTTTTC